CAAATAAAATAAATAGATATAAGTCCTTTGTTTTAAATTAAGTGAAAGGACGATGTGCCTGATAACCGTAATATCGTACAGTACTTTTAACACATTGTTAGTCATAACTGTGTTAGGCTAATTCGATTTTTCTATGTTAATACAACCAGAAAGCTGCAGAAATAAATTCTGAAATCTCAGATAAAAAAACAAAGTTACAATAATATTTATTAATAATACCAGAAGTGAATAAAAACACTCCTAATAGTATCCAAGGAAGCTATAGTTATCTCGGTCCGAGAGATTGGTCAGTTGGAGGCGTCCAAGATCATCCCAGATCGGCAGTGCACTGTAGCACGAGAACGGAGAGGTGCGATTTGTTGTTTTTATGTCGGTCATTGCAGGGAGATGGCCGTGGCACGACCCTACCACGTAGAGCTCCCGCGTTCATTAGTGGAAGTTGTCACCAACTGGAACGTGCCTATGCATAACTGGCTGAAAACCTGTGAGTGAATCTGTGTGTGTCACATGCGATCTTCCTTACCATGCATGGCAGTATTACTATTATCATCTCTGTGAAGCTGGTGGCATCTGAGACAAAGCCATGCTCTGTTAGGGCTAGAGGCCCATTGTCGAAGACACCATAAATACGACTACAATGAGTCTAAATTGCCCCACGCACACAAAAACTCTTTCTGCACTGTTTCTGATGGTTCGGACAACGGACCCAATGAGTCCTTTTATTGTAAATAGACTGATCACCAGTTGAAATTATGCCGACTAAAAGCTTTTTTCGTCGTTTCTCTTTTTTACGTACAATATCTGCAATAACTGTAATGTAATCTCTGTCAATGTATGAATGTAGTAAAAATACCCCAAACGCGCAGCTTCGGACCCAATACCTGTTAAACTTTGCTGGCCACTGATCAGTCATGGGGAACCGTGAGTCAAACTGTCGTCATTGCTAACTGTTGACATTGCAGATGTGTTTAAGACGACTCGTCCGCTCGGCACCTTCGCAGCCGTGCTGCTTACCTATGCTGCAAGCTCACTACTTCACGTAAGCATGTTCAGTTAAATGACCGATATATCAAAAATAAGACGATATAAGTCACCTATAAGCAGCGACAGCAGCGACCTACACTATGGAGTGGTGGCAAATGAATGAAACATGATCTAAACACTGGTGCAAAACGCACAGAGAGCCACGGATTATAAAGGACCAAATTAGCAGCTAATTCTAATCCGTTGCAAAATACACGGACTGCCACGTATACGCACGGAGTCCCACGTACTAAACACGGACTGCCACGTATACACACGGAGTCCCACGTACTAAACACGGACTGCAAACGGACTACCTGATGACAATTGCCTAATCTCAAGCGTCTTTTTTATTATTTAGATAATTGTTAACAGGCGCAGTCAGTGCAGTATGTGGCAGGCTGTGTATTTTGCGATGGACGGTAATTCGCTGCTTATTCGGTTCGTTATAGTCCGTGGCTCTCTCTGCGTTTTCCACCATTTACGTGTTTGGTCTGGGTTTTATCAGTTTATCGCATTTCATAGTGATATGTGATCATTGACGGGAGCGATATATCTCGGTTCAGACTTTAACTGGACTTCCATTTCCCGAAAATTATCATATGTAAATTTAAACAATCATTTTGTTGTTGTTTCAGGGTCTTAACTTTCAGCTATCGGCTGTTCTATTGTCGCTTGGTTTCTACTCCTATATCGAACATGGTATGCTATCAATGCAAAATGTCATCTTTTTCTATGACAAATATGACGATTACTGATTCTCTCAAATTTAATATATTTTTGTACCTATTACCGAAATGATCACTACTTTTCTTTGTAAATTTCTCCATTATTTACTCACAGTTCTCAGGGAGAAACTATCCAGGTACTTTGATGCCTGTGTGCTTGCGCGAAAGTGCAAGCCGGATTGCCGGCATGCCAACAAGCAGGTAAGGGTGCCATGAAGCTGTCAGGATACAATCAATCTACTGTTGACCCTCGATTTCCCAGACTAATAAGGAGGACTATACCTGTCCGGAAAATGCAAAAGTCCGAATTTCCGGGGATTGTAAAAAATACCTCCAAATTTTACCGAAACATTAAACTGTAGTACACATGACAGCTATAGAATAATGTAATAGTGTAAGAACAATACACAGACATATGAACAAACAAAAATACAGAGACAATGTAAATAAATGTCATACAGTATTATCAGGAGCGTATAATGACAAATTGTTGTTATAATGACAAATATTTGTCATTATACGCTCCTGGTATTATGTATATGTAAAGATAAATGTCCGGTAAATATAATGGTCCGGATTTCCCGAAATCTGGGAAAGCGGGGTCCGGAAAATGGACGGTCAACAGTACATGATACCATCGCTTTGACATTTAATTCGTTTTCTTATATTTTTTTTAGTTCAGATACTGTTGACTGATTGATTGTTTACTGTTGACAATATTGGAGCAGATTTAAGGATGTCAAATTTGTTATTTCAGCAGGATCCACGGGTGTTTCTGGTCAATCTTGGCTTCACGGTGATCTCTGTGTGGCACCTTGCCTACCTTGGACTCATGTTTGATAGCAGTTCAGAGGTAGAGGAGAAGGTGAGTCATAGTGACAAGTCGCTTGTAGTGTAGTTAGTATGTTATGCTTTACTTTCTGTATTCGTTTACGAACACGTGATCTATGACACTATTGTATATGCAACACGTGACGGTGGGAATAAAACATACGGGGTCTTTGAGCCTGTGTGATGAACAGAAACAGACGTGTTTACTTGAGTGTTCAGAGGCAAGAGCTTACAACACTATATCGCTCATCTTTATCTATTCGTAAAATGGAGATATTAAACAGATTATGAAGAACAGGTTCCAAAAACCTCTGATTAAGAGTTTGATTACTGATCTGAATACTAATCTGAATTACT